GTGTGCCCCCTCCGATGCTGTGAGGGAGACAGTGGCCGGCGCGAGTCCCGGATGGAGCTGGTGGTGCTTTGATGGGGGCACCTCCCCCTCCATCCACCCCTTGCCTCTCCCACATCATCCCCTGCCCCAGGGACATCGCTGACACCCTGCTTGGAGCTGGCTCCCAGCAGAGCACCAAGCAGGGTGGGATGGACAATACCCGAGGGAGGTGAATAGAACCGGGCAGAGCCATAGAACAGAACCATGGCACAGAGGGGCGGGCGGTTTTGGGGCATCCATCCCACCTTGGTGCCCTCTGCCTGCTCTGGGAGGTCACCCCAAATCTCCCCAGTGCATCCAGACCCTGAGCACCCTTGGTGCTGGGGGGCTGCAGGGTGCAAGGTACCAGCTGGTCAGGGATGTTTCCCCATCACCAAGCATAGGGTGAGCTTAGCCATGAGGCATGGGCAGGGGGAAGAGGAGGGGGGAGAGGCAGGGTGCTGTCGGGATGATGTTAAATGGGGATGAAATGAGGATAATGAAGGATTCCTGGGGATAAGGATGGGTTCCTGGGGATGCTGGGGTGTCCAGGGGTCTTTGTGGGGCTGAAGCAGTGGTGGGCACAGCAGGCTGCGTGGCCACAAGGGCTTCTCCTGGCACAGAGCTATGGGGCTGTCCTAACCTGCATTGGGAATCCACCACCACCGTGTCCCCATGGTCGTGGTGAGGAAAAACAGTCCCAGGAGATTCATGGCAAGGGGTGACCCATGGTTCTGTGGGGGCCCAGGCAGGTGAAAATGGAGAGGAGGGGAGTGCAGGAGGAGGGTGTCAGGGAACCCATGGGTGGTCTCACAGTAGGAGGTGCCTTCTGCAATTCAGAAGGACAAATGGAGCCATCCCCGTCCTGCCTGTCCCACTAGGAGCCAGGGGCACTGGGGTTGGGGCTGCTCAGTCAATCCTTTCTGTGCATGGAGCCCATCCCCAGCGTGAGCATCCAAGGTGGGGTTGAGAGGAATCCCTTGCCCTTGTCCCCACATCTGTACTCCTGTTCTCCCCTGGGACCAGCACGTGCCACGCGGGGCCATCACCCAGCCTGGTGCTCGCCTGCAGCCCCTCTACCCACCTGCAGCTTAGCTGGTGACCATGAGCAAAACCTGCCCTGATGCCACCTAACATAGGAGCAACAACCCAGCAGCACTTCTCATACCCTGCAAGCCCTTCGGGATGAGCACATGGGATGCCACTCGGATGTCATCCCCCTCATTCCTTCTGTCCCCCTCGTCCCCTGGCTCAGGTGCTGAGCACACTTTGCCACTACCAACTCCAGGAAGGCCATTCCCAAGGGCAGATGTTACAGGAGATGGGTGCTGCCAGGTTTGGCATCCGGGGTGGGATGGTGGTGGCTCGGGGGGCTCAGTCCCCTGCGAGCAGCCTCCGGCTGGAGCTTTGCAGCCCACGTTGCTGCTGAATTAATGCACTAACGCCTGCAGCAGCTTGAGATGAGAAATAAAGCTAAAACAAGTGCTCTGCTTCCACGTTCTGCCTGCAACCTGCCTCTCTGCATCCAGGGCTGGGCGTCAGTTGGGATTAGCTGGGGTGGAAAGGCCCTTTGGGAGCCCAAACTGAGCTCAAAGTCATTGGGGGACACACGCTCAGTGCTGTACTCCAAGGCATGGCCAGTGCTTCATGGGTCAACACCCGTGAGGGACTGTAGCGCAGGAATAGGTGCAGGAATGAGCTGGCTGCCAGGCAGTGAGGGGGCAGAGATCCCCTTCTGGGGGTTCTGCAACCTCAACCCCAGCTCCCTCCCTGCACAAACCCAGGTTGTGGCTCCTGGGAGGCTCCTGGGATCAGCTGCAGCGTCAGCACTGATGGAGGATTTGAGGTCCTGCACTTGGTTCAGTGCCTGAGCACTGCTGGGACCCTCCATGCTGCCCTCCTGGACAGTGGGATTTCTCCTGGGAAAGCTGAAACCCCTCAGCCACATTCTTAAACATGGGCAATGAGCCCTGTGAGGAAGTTCTGCTCCGTGCCTCAGAGCAAGCCAGTGTCCACCTACACCCTGTAGAGATGCCATCCTCTTTGGGTGCCATGCCTAATTGTGTCAGGCATAACTATTGACTCCCAAGCTGGTGCTGAGTCAGGTGAGTTAAAACCAACCAAAACCCAGAGAAATTTCTGAAGAGAATTTGGGGAGAAAAAAAAAAAAAAAAAAAAGAAAAAGAATATTTTTTTTCTTTTCAAAAATTAGAAAAAAAATGATAAAACCTGAATTTGCAGAAAGGGATTGCTCCAGCTGAGGAGCTCAAAGGAGCATTGAACAGTTTGAAGTGTTGGCACTCCAAGTTCTCAGCAATACAAAACAGTAAACAAAGAGGGTAAGAAAAGCAAGAATTAATTGGATTTAAAGAGGTTGATGGTTGCTTTTAGCAGCCTTTTAGTAAACCAGCTCTAATAAATCACTGATGTGTTTCGAGAACTCTGGAGAGCTTGGCCAGAAGATCTTACAACAACTCCAGGAATTCTTTTGAAGAGGATTGTATTGAGCCTAAAACCCCACCAGCAGCCAGCAGCCAGCAGCAGAGCCAGGAACAAATGGTGGTGGTGTGAGATTCCCCTCTTGTCCCTGCTAAGCCAATCTGCAGCATTAGGGATTTTCCACATCAGGCCTCTACTGAGCAGCTGCCGGCAGCGTTTTGATTTCCAGTGGTCAGAACACAAGGAATTTCCAATGGAAGAATGGTCTGAGGTGGCCCGTTGGGGCCGTGGTGGAGAAGCTAGGTTTGGACAGGGCCCCTGAGCACCCGCCTGCAGCACTGGCCCACGTGGATGATGACGAAGAGGATGCTGATGCTGATGTAGCCGATGCCGATGATGTGCACGGCGTAGATGGTCTCGGGGTCTTGGAGCGAGCGCCGGCGCCGGACCTGGTGGAACACACTGAGCCGGAAACCAGCCACCATCTCACCCTCCCGCCAGCAGAAGTAGGTGCCTCTATCCCTGCGCCGGACCCGCTGGATGTGCAGGTGGTTTCCATGGTCAATGAAGACCCGCATGGTCTTGTTGACATGGATGAGGTAGCGGGAGCGGTAGAGCCGGACAGAGTCCTTGTCCCAGGCCACGGCATGCTCAGGCCGGGCTCCTGGGCACGCAATGATCAGGTCAGTTCCAATGGGCTGCTTGTGAAACTGTGTAGGGACACGGGGCAGCCAGGGCTTCTTGCCCAGCTCGGAAATGATATTGGAGATGGTCTGCACACCTTCCTCAGGGACCTTGTCCGTCTGGCAAGGGGTCATGCAGCTTCGGATGGCCACCTCGGGTTTTCGGAGGTGGCTCAGGCTCCGGAAATGGGCAGGGACAGCCCTGGAGCCACAGGACGTGACGTTGGGCACAGCGGCGCGGTAGCGGGGGTGAAGCTGGGCAGCCTGCACGTAGCAGAGCCCAATCCGCCGCTGCTCACCTCTCACCCCACAGCGGTCACATCTGGTCCAGTCCCAGAAGGTGGTGAAGAGGCTGATGAGCTGCTCCGTGTGGTCATCCTGGACGTGCTGCCCTTTGTCCTCAAAAGCCACTGTGATGAACTTGGTGGGCTGCACGTCCACATCATAGCCATAGAAGAAGTCCCCTTGCTTAGTGCCACACAGGTAGTGTCCTGAGTCTGTCACCTGCGCTCGGAAGACGATGAGACTGAACATCCGGATACTGAAACGCTTCAGCATGTCACTGCCTGCACGGATGTGGCCCGAGTCCACAATCATGTTGCCAGCAAAGTCTGTCAGGACTGTGGTTTCATGGTTGCCCAACGTCTTCTGGAAGTACCAGGTGACAGAAGAGACTTCTTCAGGCTTGCAGTTGCAAGGGAGCTCGAAGGTCATGTCAGCCAAGTAAGCGGCGTTGTCGAACATCAGGAAGGCAGGGCAAGCCATCCTCTTGAAGACATCTCCCTTCTCTTCAATCGCAAAAGCGTGGAGAACATCTGCCAGGCAGAGGAGAACAGCAGCTCCCAGCAGCTTTGTCTCCATCACACCGCGTGGTCTCTGCAGACAGAACTGACCCAGCCACCACGTCCTCAGCAGGGATGGCAGGAACCCACAGGAGGGGTCAGCAGTGCCAGCGCCAGGCAGGGACAATGCACACACCAGCTGTCTGGCCCAAGATGGGGTTTGCAAATGACTCCCTGCCTGCAGAGCACATGGCTGATAGCAGGGATCAAACAGCAGCTGAAATATCCCGTTCCAGCCAAGTACCTGCTGTGAAGCCCTGTCCAACCCTGGGGCAGGCTGTTCCCTGGGACACGGACTCTAGAACCTTTCCTCCCTCCCAGCTGCTCTGGGGTGTTGTGACTATAAGCTGACAGGTCCTTTGTGCAGCACAGCCACAGAGGAGAGATACAGTAATGGGAAGTGTGGTGGCAAAGAGGGAATTGCCACTGTCTTCTTCTAAGTCTCATATGCAATGAATGTTAATTATTGCCCTGACCCCTCTAAGGACAATGAACCCCGAGAAGACCCACCTCTGATGGCAGATGACCTCCACAGCCCAGAAGAAGAGGTTTCAAACATGGTATTTAGACTTCGACATCCTCCCTGTCGGCTTTCCAAAGGTTTGTGTGCTGAAGCTCCTCCATACAGGTAACGTTTGAGACTCCCCTCTCCCCCCCTCATCTAAGAGACCCTCACAGAGCTGTTCTGTGAGGACACCCTGCCCCAAAGATCACAAACACAGTCCTCTCAGTAACTAACCTTTATTTGTGCAGAACTATTGCTCTGGGTGGCTCCCAGGTACAGAGAAAGGTACAGCAGTGCTCCAGAAGCATCCAATTTACCCCTCTCACACAGCGATGCCAACGTCAAGCTTTGAGCCTCTTTTTGTGCTCTATTTCTGCATGACTCCGGTGCTTCTGCTCCTTCAGTTGATCTGGTAACATTTCATCAACTCCAGCACTCTCCTTTCCTCCTCGGTTTCCTTTTGCAAGCTGGCATCCATGAGGTGGGCTTCCCCCTCTGCCTCACAGCCGGCTGTGCTGCTGGGATGGCCGGGGGCCCAACACTCCCTGCTCATGCTCCACAGCTTCCTAAACAAATCCCTGCTGCTCTCCTTCTCCAGCTCACTCAGGAGATCCAGGTTTAACCCGAAGCGCTTGGTGCCCGATAGGCTCTGTAAGATCTGAAGGATGGCAGCTCTGTCTTCATGACAGACATTCTCTGCCAGCACCGTAAGGAATTCACCCAGGAGGCCATAGCCCAAGTCAGCCTGAAAGATTCTGCCCAAGGCCTCCCCTCCGAGTTCCAGCAAAAACTGGTATTTCAGTTTTCTGCTTTTTAAGCATCTGCGCCAATCTCTGTAAAATTCAGCAGAGGTTCCAGGCAGCTGATCCAGCTCCTGAAAGAGAAAATAGTTCTCCAGTTCCTTTAATTTTGTTCCCAGTGATGAGTTGTGTCCTCCCCCCCCCCCCCGCCCCCCGCGGCCCCCCCCCCCCCCCCCCGACCCCGATCAAGCTGTGGATGGCTGAGATGTTTTAATACAAGCTTATAGCAGAAAGGGCTGCATAAAGCTTGTGGGGTGGCAAAACATAAAGACAAGGAACTACCAGCTTCCTCAAGCCCCCAGGGAAAATAAAGGAAGAATGGATGAGACATGAAATGTGGTGTGGATGAATAGATCAACAGCAGGGTAACCCCAGCCCTAACCAGAACCAGACATGCTGCCCAGTGTGGATCCACTACTTGGGAAGAGATCTCCTGGAGATGAAGGTAGTTCAGTGGAAACTTCTGCTCCATCTTGAGCACTGTGAGGCAAATCAGAGCAGTAAAGAGATGCAAGAGATGAGCTGTAAACCCCAGAAAATATGCAGATGGCTCTCACACACCATCTCGTAGCGTGCTGCATTCATAGGGGTCTCTGGCAGAGAGCTTGTGCTAAAAGAGAGTCAAGCTCAATGTGGCATTCCCAGATAAAAGGAAATCCTGTTTTATACAACATGTAACTGAACTGCTGAACTCATCACCGCCGACTTCTGTAACTAACACACAGACTGAAGGAGGATTAAAATGTTTAGGCTTTCATCCAGAGAGCAAGAACAAGGCCCGGCAACGTCAGGCTGTGTCTAAACACAAACTGGAGAAGCCCTGGAGATCAGAGCCGAGGCGCTAACGGGATTAGGAAGAGAATTTGCTCTGGGGAGATCATTGTTCAGCCCAAGAAAACACAAAGCTGCCTAGAAGAGTTGCAAACACATCTCATAATAAACAGGCAAATTAGGTTCAGTGTAAAAAAAAATCACAGACTGGTTTGGGTTGGAAAGGACCTTAAAGCTCCTCCATCTCCAACCCCTGCCACGGGCAAGGACACCTTCCACTAGAGCAGGTTGCTCCAAGCCCCTGTGTCCAACCTGGCCTTGAACACTGCCAGGGATGGGGCAGCCACAGCTTCTCTGGGCACCCTGTGCCAGCACCTCAGCACCCTCACAGGGAAGAGCTTCTCCTTTATATCTAACGTGAACTTCCCCTGGTTCAATTTGAACCCATCACCCCTTGTCCTGTCACTACAGTCCCTGATGCAAAGCCCCTCTCCAGCATCTTTGTAGCCCCCTTCAGACCCCAGAAGCTGCTCCGAGGTCACCACACAGCTTCTCTTCTCCAGGCTGAATAGCCCCAACTTTTTTAGCCTGTCTCCATGTGAAACATCCATAGGAATTATCCCTGTCTACACATCCAATGACCAGGACATTCCAGCGTGAGCAGATTCCAGCAGAGGGGGCAGGATAGATGTCACTCCAATCACAAATGACCCGGATAGAAAATGTTTAGACACCGTTTCACACAACTGAAGAACTAAGGAGCATCCAGTGAACTCGTCAGGCAGCAGGTTTGGAACAAAAGAACACTTTGTCCATATCATGCACAATTGAAGCACGGGGGGAGGAAGAGCTGGCTACGTTCACAGTCTGTGGCTATCAAACTTGATGCTCCAGATGCACAACCCTGGCTCCCGGTCTCTAAACAGCAGCCAGCTGGAAGAGTGCAGTCAAGGGAGGGCACTCTTCCCCAAGAATCTGTTCCTGGCCACCACCAGGGGCAGGGCACTGGGAGCTCTGGTCCGACGCTGTGCAGCTGGTCTTGGGTTCCCACAGGCTTGAAGCAGATTCTTGAAGCAGCTGGTGCAAGCTCTCCTCAGAGACAAAGTAGGGGCTAAGGCTGAACCCTGTGGTTATCTAACCACCAATGTTCCTGGGGACTTTGAGGGCTTGCGCATGTGTAGAGATATTGCTGAGTAACTCTTGCATTTTAAGTGAATACCCAAAAATATTTTGGAGTCATTTTTAGATGTGGATAAAGTCCTGAAGAGCATCTCTCTCACCTGGGGTATTTCCACATCGCTGCCTTGCGGCGCCTTGGCATGGGCTGCACAGGGATTCCACAGCACGTTCCTCCTCTGGCCCATCTTGTCCTTTTTCTCTAGGGGCTTGAGGTGTGATGCCAGCACAATGTTCCTGCAGGCAACAAGAAGGGGAAGGGGCGCTTAGCAGGAGCAAATACTCTGAGGCTTCAAAGCTTCTTTGAGGCAATTTCTGAGTTTGGACCATACGTAGGGTCCAGAAGGACCTGGACAGGCTGGAGGAGCGGGCCCTTGTGAACATAGGCTGCAGGAAGGGTGCTCAGGCTTGGAACAGGCTGCCCAGGGC